GGTGGGTGGGGTTGAGGGGGGGGTTGTACAATTTTAGTTTCATAGGAGTTTAGGGGGTTGAGGTTTTGGAAGCCGTGAGGTGCTTCGGGGTCTGTGTTTAGGGTTTAGGGGTTTAGGGTTTAGGGTTTAGGGTTGAGGACTTTGGGATTTTGGGGTTGAGGACTTTGGGCTGTCGTGGTTTAGGGCTTCGAGACTCCGGCCTTAGCAAGGGAGCAGGAACGAAAGTGTCCATGGTATCCTAGACTCCAGACCAAAGCCCCAAGACACTATTGTCAAAACTCCTAGAATCCGAAAAATCACACTAAACCCTAAACCCTAAACCCTAAATCTTAAACCCTAAACCCTAAATCACACACCTTCAACTCCGCAGACTTCCAAAGTGTCGCAGGTGCGTTACCATCCCAATGGCTCTGCCCACCTACGCCCGCCTCTGTGATGCGAGCGGCGCCGAGAACAACGTGGCCTTAGTGGCTCTCTGTGCAGGACGGGTGGGAGGGTTCATGTCTCTGCCTTTTGTTTCTGTGTAATGGCTGTAGGGTAGGTTTCAGCTCTTTCTCGCCTTGCAGGGCTTTGCCCTAAATAGTTTATACCATGCTATGCCTGAACCCTCAATCCTAAGCCTCACAACCCAGTCCTTCTGATGGCACTTCATATATGCCCTTGCTAAACCCTAAACCCTAAACCCTAAACCCTAAACCCTAAACCCTAAACCCTAAACCCTAAACCGCTTCCTTCCATGAACCCTTCAGCGCGGCATTGCAGGAGTGTCGGGGTTCATTGGGTGCGGGCCTCAGGTTGCGGGCTTGGGGTTAAGACGCTGGGGGCTTTAGGACTGTAGGGGCGTAGGATGGTGTAGGATTTTGGGGGATATAGGGTTTCAGGGTTTAGGATTTTTGGAGGTTTTACGCATTCATGTTTACGGCTTCCGGTTCATAGGGCATGAGGGCGATTTACGGGCTAGTGTGGGATTTTGGTTTTCGGGTTTGGATTTGTGGTTTAGGGCTTAGTTTGGAGTTGGAGATGCTTTACGAACGACACCTGCGACGAGGGCTCAGCAGCAATGGTAAACAGCTGTAGTTGTGATGATGACGTTGTTGTTGCTGTTGAGGATAACAGTTCGAAAAATATGTTCTATGAGTTGCAGAAACTGTCATCTTCCACGGGCTTGGCACTTGAACATTGTGAACTCTAATCAAGATTGCAAGAGTCAGAAGTGCTACACCCTAAAGCCTGAACCCTGAACCCTAAACCGTAAATCGCCTCGTCAGCGTTACATGGTTCTAAGTCGTCAATCCCTCATACTGTTCCCGAAAGCAAAGCCGATGAAGATTTCTATCCTCGGGCCTGGAAAGCTCTCGAGAGATGCAGGGCCTAAGGTTGTGGTTTGCAGGCTCTTGGGGTTCAGGGTTCGGGGATTAGGGCTTAGGTTTACTGTTCAGGGTTTAGGGTTTAGGGTTCGGGGTTTAGAGTTTGGGGTTTTGGGCTTCCGGGCTTAGGGTTTAGGGGAACTCATAACCTCACACACTTTGCTCGAACACCATGAAGCCCGTAACTTCAAAGCCCTAAATCCCTTAAGCGCTGGCCCTAAACCCTAAAGCCCCAAAGCCCTAGACCTTCGAAGCCCAGACGCTACCGTCTGCCTCAGCCCTAAACCCTAAACCCTGAATCCTAAGCCCCTTTAGAGCCCTAAAAGCCTAAACCCTGAACCCCAAACCCCAAACCCCAAACCCTAATCCCTTTGGATCACTCAAGCCTAAAAGCCCGAAACCCTAAATCCCTAAACTCGGAAACCCCTAAACCCCTACACCCTGAACCCCAAACCCACCCAGGTTCGGCTTCTCCCAGCGTTTCCTGTCCTCGGCGCTCTGCGGATCGACAGCCGATCCTGCAGGGACCCCGTCCCTCAGGGCGCTGAAGGGTCTTGTCAGGGAGCCCTTTAAAGGGAACTCTTTTAGGGAACCCTTAAAGGAACCCTTTAAGGGTCCTTTTAAGGGAACCCTTAAAGGAACCCCTAAAGGAACCCTTAAAGGAACCTTCAAGGGGCCCGACAAGGGACCCGGAATCCTTAAGGGTTCCTTTAAGCATTTAAGGGATCTTGCAAGGGTTCCGTGAAGAGGTTTGGGGTTTAGGGTTTAGGGTTCCTTGAAGAGTCTTTTCAGTGTTCTAGGGAGGGTTTAGGGCATTCAGTGTTTGGGGATTAGGGATTTCGGCATGGTGGTTGGGCCTCAGCTTGGCGTTTAGGGTTTTGGGCTGTTTGGTTTTGAGGCTCTTGGTCTAGGACATTTTCAGGTGGGTAGTTACCCTTATAGGAGCCTTATAGAAGGTAGGAGCCTTATAGAAGGTCTATATACCTTATAGAAGCCTTATAGAAGCCCTACATGCCCTAAACTCCCCACCTGCAGTTTCCTTTAACTTGGGGAAATGGTGTTTCAACTCCGGATGAGGCATTCAGTGCTTTTGGAATCTTTCGAGGGGTCTCAGGGCCCTAAACCCTAAACCCTAAACCCTAAACCCTAAACCCTAAACCCTAAACCGGTTTTGTGGGTTTGCGGCTTGCGACTTGGGGGGGCGTGGCGTGGTTTGGGTCGAGGCCTGGGCAGTTTTCGGCCCTGACTCCTAGATCCCAAATCTAACCCCAAACCGCAAACCCCAACGGTTTAGGGTTTAGGGTTAAGGGTTTAGGGTTTAGGGTTTAGGGTTTAGGGTTTAGGGTTTAGGGTTTAGGGTTTACCCTAAACCCTAAACCCCGAATCCCTCAAGTCAAGAGCTCAGTACCGTCCTGAACTGCCCCAAGAAGCTTCCTACTTACATTGGTGAACCTACACCCCTACACTCAACCCAAAGCCCTGAACCCTAAAAGCCCTAAAAACCCCAAAAGCCCGCTAAACCGCTAAACCCTGATAAGCCCCTAAACCCTGAAACCCTTGACCCCCTGAACGCCTAAACCCCTAAAAACCCCTAAAGCCCCTAAAGCCCCTAAACCGTAAAAACCCTAATAGACCCCTAAACCCTAAACCGTCTCGGCACGGTTAGAACAGCCTGAAGTGTAAAATCACAGAAGTTGTCCCCTAGGATTCTGCTTACTGGAGGCTCGCAGGCGTTTGTGCGGGGTGCCTTTTTAGGAGGGTCCCTTTTTAGGGGGGTTTTAGGTTTTCGGGTTGAGGGTTTACGGTTTAGAGCCATCACAAGCTCCAAGCCAAAGGTTTAGGGTCATGATTCTATGAAGGGACCCGTACTGGTCCCGTGTTCCAGTTCCGGGTACGCGTGGAGGCTAGGGCCCCCGTGGTCGCGGAGAGACCGGCAAGCGTATTGGATCGATCTGCGCCATCGAGGTGGAGGGGCTTAAGCGCCGCCCACCCACGGAAGGTGGGCGGCCGAAGCCTTGAGTTTCGGGTTTAAGGTGTAGGGTTCCTTAAACTAAACTTTATCCCCTAAACCTCTGAACCCTAAACCCTAAACCCTAAACCCTAAACCCTGAACCCTAAACCCTGAACCCTAAACCCTAAACCCTAAACCCTAGAAGGAAGCCTTACAGGACCCGGAAAGAGTCCCGAGCTGCTAAACCTTAAAAGGAAGATCATGGGACTTAGTAAGTAGGGTTATAATTAAGGTAACTATACTTATATGTACTTATAATCCCAATTAAGGGACTTATAACCTTACTTACTAAGTCCCATGATCCTCCAAGTACAGGACCCAAAAAGATCCCTAGCTGGTTCGCCGAGGTGGCTCGGGGCATCGCCACGGGCGCGGCCGCCCATGCGCTGGGTGCCGCCTGCCTGGTCGCCACAGAGCCGGAGGTGGACAGTTTTGACAGGGCTCTTTCAAGAGATCTATAAGAGTTTCTATAGGGTTTCATAAAGGTTCTACATGGGTAGTTCTCACCCTTATAAAAAGCAAAGGAGCCTGTTTAGGAGCGCTGCCCACAGCTTTTGCTTCTTTGAGGGGGAGAACGGTTTTTTGTAGAGTAGAGGTTTCATTGAGTTTCAGAAGGGTGCAGAAGAGCAGTTGGGGTCTAGCCTTTACAGTTTTTAGGGTCTTAATTCAAGGCTGAGTGCTTTGGGATTTCAGGGTTTTGGGTGTAGGTGTGTTTATTTGTGAAAGGTTTAGGGTCTGTGTGGACAGGTTTTGGCAGGTCTAAATCCGGGCTTAGATGCCGTCTTCTTCGAGGATGGCTGACGGCTTTCAGGGTTTGTTATTGCATGTTGACGGTTTTGGTGGCAACTTCTCTTGCTGTTATGGGTTTAGAAGCATGGACTGCTATACTTCGGACGATTCAAGAGTCTTGCTTCAAACTCACGGTTACCGACTTGCGTATCAGTACCGCAAACCTAGGCTGCCCTAAACCCCTTGAAATAGAAAAGCCTAGGTTTGAACCCTAAACCCTAAACCCTAAACCCTAAACCCTGAACCCCATAATCCCACAAAGCGCTTCCAGGCGTCCTTCTGTGGTCCTTATAGAACACCTTCTGTAACCCTATAAAAATCCACATAGAGCCCTCCGCAACCCCAGAGAGCTGCTCCGAATCATTCGTACTACTATTGCCGTATAGTTTGTTTAGAACTACTGCAGTGTATGCTGCAATATACATCGAGGCCCTGTGGAAACTACTACACCCTAAACCCCAAACCCGAAACCCTAAACCCCTAAACCCTAAGCCCTAAACGCTAAAGCCTAAACCCTAAACCCTAAACCCTAAATCCTAAAACCCTAAACCCTAAACACTATTCAACCCAAACCCCAAAACTGCTCCCAGGCATTCGTCTGGGGCATGCTGTCCATGGCCGTCTCTGGGGTTCTCAGCTCAGACGCGGGTGCGTCGAATATAGGGGCCTGAAGAGTTACCTGTAGTATTTTGGGGTTCAGGGTTTAGGGTTTAGGGTTTAGGGCTTAGGGTAATTACCTATAGTATTTTGGGGGTTTAGGGTTTAGGGTAATTACCTATCGTATTTCGGGGTTCCTTATTATAGTTAGACTATAAAGAAGCCCAAAACCCTATCCCAATTGTTAAAGGCCCCTCAACCCTAAACCCTTACTAGAACGGTTTAAGGATCCCCTTGAAGGAGCCCCCAAACCCTATTCTAATTATTAAGGCCCCTGCATCTAACGAATCCGCGAGCAGATGCAGAGCAAGTTGGCTGACAGTTCAGCAACTTTGCAATAAACACACGCACACAGACGTGTATAACATGTATATATATATATATATATGGTCACACACCCCCCCCATGATCCAGCCCAG